GGTTGCCACTCTGCCTTGGAGCCAGCCATGTATGGACTGAAACCTCCACAAACTGTGAGCTAAATAAACCTATTCTTCCTTAATTTTGGGCATCAGGTATTTTGTCCCAGCAAGGAAAAAGGTAACCAAGACAACACCATTAGCATACCTCACAGATCTAGAAAAAGCATTCCTGAAATTCATCTGGAAAGAGAAAAGACCTAGAATAACAGAGGTAATGCTGGCCAACAAAAGCAAGGCAGAAGGCATCACAATCCCTGACTAAAAATTATACTATAAAGCTACTGTGATAAAATCAGCATGGCACTGGCCATAAAACAGACCTCAGAGGATCAGTGGTACAAGTCAGAAAATGTAGACACAGCTGCAAACACACTCAGCCTCCTTATCTTTGACAAAGGGGCTAAACATGTTCACTGGAAGAAAGATAGCCTCTTTAATAAATGGTGCTGGGAAAACTGGCTTTCCACATGCTGAAGACTAAAACTAGACCCGTCTATCACCATGCACTAAACTAGAGTCAAAAGAGATTAAAGATCTAAATATTAAAACAGAAACAATAAATCTACTAGAATAGAAAGTAGGTAGAAATCTTGACAACATAAGGGTAGGCAAATAGAGAGTTCATGAACAAAAACCAAACTGCATGGGAAATACTACAAAAGAATCAACTACTGGGATCTTATCTGATTAAAAAGTTTTTACACATGAAAAGAAATCACCAACAGGGCTTGGGATATAGCTCAGCAGCACAAGCGCTTGCCTAGCTGCTCAAGTAACTGCCTAGCAGCACACGGTCCTGAGTTTGATTCCCAGTACCAAAAAAAAATATATATATATATATCACCAACAGAGTGAAAAGAGAACCAATGGATTGGGAAAAAATTTTAGCCAACTGTCCCTCAGACAAAGGACTTCTATCTAGAAAATATAAAGAAGTTTTAAAACTCAGCATAGCCCCCAAATTCAAAGACCCAGTACAAAAATGGGCATCTGAGATGAATACATACTTCTCAGATGAAAAAATACAATTGGCAGATAAATATATGAAAAAATGTTCAACATCATTCATCATTCCAGGAAATGCAAATTAAAACAACACTGAGATTCCATCTCACCCCAGAAAGAATTGCTATCATCAAGAAATCAACCTATAACAAATGCTGTTGGGGCTGTGGGGAAAAAGAAACCCTTCTCCATTGTTGGGAGTATTTCAACCTCCAGCTGGTACAACCACTGTGGAATCAGTGTGGCGATTCCTCAGAACACTAGTATTAGAGGTCCCATTAGACCCAGCTATTCCATTTCTGGGTATTTTCCTGGAAGAAATGAAAAAATCATACCATAGCAGTATACATGCACCCACATTTATAGCAGCACAATTTGTAATAGCTAAATCTTGGAAACAACTCAAATGTCTATCAACCGAGGAATGGATAAAAAGAGTGGTGTTTTTATACAATGGAGTACTGCACAGCTATAAAGAAAAACTCAAGGCTTTTATAGGTAAATGGAAGTAACTAGAGACCATACTCAAAAGTAAAATAAACCAGACTCTCATGTGTAAACATCATATTGTGTCCCTACTGTAAGAAACTGAAAGAGTAAATAAAATCCAAAAGCTACAGTAGATATAGTGAAAGGGAAAGAAACTGCTCAAAAGGAAAGAACAACTGGGGTAGGGGAAAAGATAAAAGAAGGAAGGGAAAAAGAAAAGGACATGTGAATATACACAAGATAGCTCAGATAATTGTGCTACTAATTTCTTTTTGTTTTTTTTTTTTTTTGGTTTTTCTCCAGTACCGGGAACCGAACTCACGACCTTGCGCTTGCCAGGCAGGCGCTTTTGCCGCTGAGCTAAATCCCCAGCCCCTTGTGCTACTAATTTCTGTTAATCCATTGAAAGGAACAGTTAATGCTTACATTGTTTGATCAATTTTGCATGCACGTATCTGGTAATCTGCGCAAATACTTTGAAGATAACAATATTCGGTATAATAACCATTATTAATTTCTTACCTTGTTTTGCAATTTTGTATCATTGTTATTGTTTTTTATCTCTCTTTAAAATTAAAAAAATTGCTGAACATGGTGGCACATGCCCATAATCACAGCACTCGGGAGGCTGAGGCAGGAGGATCCTTGTGAGTTTGAGACCAACGTAGGCTACATAAGTGAGCTCAGGGCCAGCCTGAACTACATAGTGAGACCCTGTCTCAAAAAGACAAAAAACAAAAAACAAAACAAAAAAAAGAACAAAAACAAATAAAATTTTAAAAATCAATTATCTTTTCATCAGGTAACTCCACTTTTAGAAATTACTCATAATGAAATAGTTGAACTAGAAGAACCTAGTACTTATACAGGAGTGATCATTACAGTGTGAAACTGCATAAAATCAAGTTGTGCACCATCAGAGTTGGTGAAAAAATTATGCCTTTGAGATGATTTTGTAGTCCTATACAAATATAGAAATATGCCCATAAAATGGTATTACTTGAAAGTACGTGTTGTAATCTACATATATCACATAGCAGTTGTTTAAAAATTTAAAATTATTTACTTACAAGGATATGCGAAAATATATTAAAAGTGTTAACAGTTTCTCCTGGATAATGAACTTATTCTATTGATATTTTTTACTTTCTTCTATATTCCTCTTTTGTCTCAATGACCATGTGTTGCTTTTATAATTAGAAAAGATAATACTTTTTTATTTGTGTGGAAGTGTTAACAGTAAGTAAATTACACAAAAGCAGTGTTGGTCTTTCTATGCAGTGGATGTTTTCACTTAAACAGTGATATTTTTCAGTTAGGTTCAAGATATTCAGGGAACATTCTGTAAATACACTCACAAGTTCTTTTTTTTAAGCTATATAAATTTTGATGCTTTTTCCCTTCTGCCACATAGAACCATGTTCCATACATTGGCTAAGCAAACTGTAGGACTTTATCATGTTTTTCTTTCTGATAATCTCTTAGCTAATGGCTATTGCTCCAACAAAATTCATCTTATATAATTAATCTGGACTTTCCAGATAACAATGAAGCGCAAATAAAAACATCTGACAAAAGGCAGATTAAATATAAAAGAATGTCTTTCACTGGTAATGGGTACAATAAAAGAAACTCATAGCTACCCTGTCTAACACACAGACCACCTCCTCTTTTCTACCAACTATAGTATTCATGAAGTAATGTAAGAGGATACCTCTTTCCGCTACAGCCTATTACATTTCTCTCATTAGCTCCCACTTGACCTTCCTTCAGGTATCCCAAAGACATTTATAAAAACTTGGAAGTAAATTGGTACACCAAAGTACTATATTGCTCATGGATAGAGGGAATTTTATTACTGTCTCTCATCTACCCCACTACAGAAGCAAAGAAAAAGCAACCAATGAGAATGAACATAACCTTAAATTATAATATTCTAGATTTTAAAGTTTTGAATGGAATTATCTCGTTTTTATTTTCACAACTCTGTAAAATAATCAGGACAAATATCTCTGTTTCATTTTCAGAGTTTCGGGTATCTAAGATGACAAGTTTTATAAGCAGCAGAGCAACAACTTGGCTTTTAAACCAGTACTTTTTTCTACTAATGACTTTATCTTACTGGATTTATAGTAAATTTGAGTACTTGTGCTTTTGCTGCTTCATGCCTTTGCCATAGGACATTCCCTTTCTTCGAATATCCTGCCACATCATTTTTCTGTCAGGCCTGTCATCCTTCATACTTGAGTCTCATATGTTTTATTGCTCTCTTCACAAAACACACTGCCCATACTTCTAGTCCTGTTATTTCTTTTACTTTAATGATTGGTTTTGAGTCAATAAAGTATGGACAGTCCTCACTTGCACAGTGGTGCAAGATCATAAAAATGACCATGCAAGAGAAGTTGTGCAGTGATCTTTATTATCAATTCGAAAAATTATAGTTCTTATAATTTTTAAATTTTGTTTAAGCGTTAAAATCTCTCTATAAAAAGTCTAAAGAAATAACAAATAGTAAAACTGATATTTGTTACCCTGTAATTCAGAACATCCAAAACACTGAGAAAGTAACATGTTTAATTTCTTTTTGAAAACTTGTCACCAGTAGTTTGAATAGTGCTTGCCTCCTTCTTTTCATAAAACTTACAGTACAGAGTGGATATATTTTCTTGCCCTGACAAATTTATCATGATCCTGTGTAAGTTTGGATCTACTTCCTGAACTTTCCTGTGGTATAAAAATAACTCCAATAGTTTGCTTATCTAGAGTCTCTCAAACTCAACCTTCTTTCTTCCCATGGTCATGTATTTCTTCTTTAACTCCACTTAGTCATCTTTTGTTTCTTTTCTGTATTATTTGCTTGCTCAGTGGCTACTCTGTAAGGCAGGTAAGACAAGGATAGGTTGATTGGGGCTGGCATTTTTTGGTCTCTAGTTTTTAAGACAGATTATTTCAGGCAAGGCCTTATTTTCAGAAAAACATGATATCGGGGCTGGGGATTTAGCTCAGCGGCAAAGTGCCTGCCTGGCAAGCACAAGGTCGTGAATTCGGTTCCCGGTACCGGAGAAAAACCAAAACAAAAAAAAAAAGAAAAACATGATATCAAAATTTTACTTCATACAATGATAAACCATTTATTACCATTGTAATTAAAATTTGGATTGTGTTATTGGGACTTGTGCTACTTATACCACAGTACCTGAAATTTATACATAAGTAAACGCACAAATTTAGGGCTGCCCATATGTATACACCTTGAAATCATCAGCGTTACTTGGGTGTCTATGAATATAATACATCATCAAGAAGTTGTTGAATGAAGAAGGAAAAAAATCTAGGAAAAAAAAGCTAGATTTTTACTTTTTTAAATAGGTGAATGAATGCACTGATGCTTTTTTATGTGTAGTTTTAGTTCTGCTATAGAGTATATAAAAATAAACTCCTGCCCTTTACTCTCAGAAAGCCTCATACAAATCTGAAACTTTATCTGCATTGCATTCTAGGCTGACCTCTGTGTCCCTCGATTGAATGAAGGGGACCAAGTTGTACTGATCAATGGTTGGGACATTGCAGAACATACCCATGATCAAGTTGTCCTTTTTATCAAAGCTAGCTGTGAGAGACATTCTGGGGAACTTGTGCTTCTAGTTCGACCTAATGGTAAGTTCTTCATGTAGCACTCTGTATTTCTCATATACATTACTGTGTTTTACTGGATGCAGCAACCAGAGTGGGCTTTCTCACACATGTCATGTAAGCTTCTTGCTCGATGACAATACCTTCCATCTATTTTTTTGGGAAAAAATCCAAATTTTTGAGACGATTATCTCCCACTCAGCTTTGCTCATTCTCTTCTATTTTACAGTGGTTTCCTTACTGTTCCTTAAATATTGCAATCTGATCTACTTTAGGTTCTTTATACTTCATGTTCCCTCTGCCCAACAAACTCTTCTTGATTTTTGTATGACCTATGTCCTTACTTTATTCAGGTCTCTGCTGCAGTGCCATCCTCAGAAAAACTTTCTCTGCTTATTCTACTATAGCTAAAGTGGCCTCCCTCTTTTCCAATTGCTTTAGTAGTATTAAATATTTAATAAGTACTTACTGGATGAATGAACAAATTTTGAACTTCGTTTTACTTCTGGAAAACTCCATAAAAATCTATAGTTAAAATAGCTTTTTAAAAAATGTTTATATTTTCAGTAGATGATATCCACCTGTCTAGTCATGTCATCTCTTGATCCAGACATTTGACTTGTTAATTGCTAATCATGGAGTCCTAGGTTTGGAGAAACATTAAACACCATAAACTCTAACTCCTTTGCCAGTTGCATGAATTTCTTCTACAGCAACATCAAAAGCATTTTGCATATTCAGTGCCTCCTGAAGCAATGCATTGCACCTTTGGATAGCTTAAACTACAAATTGAACTGAAAGTCTGTTTTCCTTCACTTACATTGTTCCTAATTCTATCACTTTGTGCTATGAACAATAAGTTTAATCCTTCTTCAGTTTTTGAACAATAGCTAATTTTACTACAAACATTCCCTCCTTTCTCTAAAGTCTTCAGCCAGTGTTCAGAGGACATTGTTCATTATTTTCAAATTCCCTCAACTCCTATCAGTCTCCTTTAAGAAAAAGTCCAATATGCTAGCAATGTACATAGTTGTATAGTTTTTTCTGAACAGTTTACTGTTAGCTACATAATATTTGGCTAATACCATGTTACCACTTGTTGAGTATACACCATAGAAAAGTAAAATATAGTTAGAACTATATTTGTCCACCATACTAAACTGCAAAATTGTGCAAGAAGGTTCATTTTTATTAAGAAACAAACAAGCTGAGCACAGTGGCACTTGTCTATAATCTTAGCTGCTTGGGAGATAAAGGCAGGAGGATTACAACTTTGAGGCCAGCCCGGGCAACTTAGTGATACCATGTTTTAAAATTTTTTGAAGGTGGGGAATACTTGGAATATAGCTTAGTAGTAAAGCATAAAACACCCCTGGATTCAATCCCCAGTAACACCCCCCAAAAAATTTTATATCTTGGCTAAAAACTGGCATTTTCATTTTTATCAACTTTTATGTTTTTCTCCCATGATGGCCTATAATTGGCTTTCTAGGAAGATTAAAGGGACTTCACCATATAACATTGTATTTTGATTTTTCAAGAAACTTGATACTGAAGTGACTCATTATTAGGCATTTTTCTATCACATAAAGCTTCTTCAATTTTATACCAACAAAAACATTCTCTCAATTTTATTTATCCTGTTTTCTCTTCATAATAGGTACTAAAGACCTTAAAAATATCAGTAACAGTAGTTAATAGTGACTTAAAAGCTTTCTATATTCTTAGTCCCTTTTGTATGTTCTCATTTAATCTTCATACCAGAAAGCATGATAGACTCTTCTGATCCGTAGTCAGACGCGTTATCCATTGCGCCACTGGCCCGCCCTTCAGAAAGCATGATAGACAAATTCTCCTCATTTGAGTTGAAGACACTTTGGCACATGTGTTCAGTTGTCTGCTCACAGATTGGAGCCAGTGTTTGAACAAGTCTTTATGATGGCAAAGGAATAGTCTTTTTTGCAGTTTCACAGTGCCTCATTTATGCTTTGAATTAGGAGAGGAACCTACTTTGGGCATGCTCCTTGTAGAATATCATTTTTCTTTTTGAGGTGCTGAGGATTAAACTCAGGGCCTCACATGCTAGGCAAGAGCTGTGCCACTGAGCTATATTCTCAACCCAGTAAAAGAGCTTTCTAACATTATTTTATTGTTAAAGTCTAGGCCAGGACCTTTATTCATTTTCAGTGTGGGTCTGTCATACCTATTTTTACTTAAAATAACTTACAATCAAAATTTAAAATTCTATTTGCCAAGAATATTATTGTACTTTTCTGATCTTTATCCCTTTCTCATTTCTTTTTAGGCAAAATATACTCATACTTTCTTATCTTGTATTGTTTATTCCAGTAATTAATTTTTTTCAAAAAATCATATATGTCTGAGAAGCAACCAGACCTCTATACAAGAGTAAAAGAGGCTTCTGCCTGGGCTCCATACCTTAGAAGGCCCTGCTCTGCCTTTTTTTCCAGCCATGCCTCTTCCAATAGAGTCATTTTGTAGGACCAAGTAGACATGCCTGACTGTCACCTGTAACCTCTCCTGTTTTTCTCAAGCAGTGTTTTCAGCCTCTAGTTTTCTGCTCCAATAGCTCTAAGCCTACTTACTTCTAAGGCCTTCAGGGACATTTTCCAGTGGTCCATTTTTCCCAAGGTTAGGCAGCATGGTATGTTTCTAGGCCAGCAAAGGTGGCTGAGAGGCAGTAGTTGGCAGAAGACGAGAGCAGAAAAAACCTGTGTGGGTTGGGTTGTTCGCATGTATGAACTGTAAAGAATAGAGCTGCTAAGAGGAAAAGAAGTAGGCTAGGCTGTAGGCCTGGGGTTTAGGGTCATATGCCTCATGACTGTGAATTCTGGCCTAGAGTTCTCATTTGAAATATGGCCCCCTAATTGTTTTATAGAAAGAGAACAGAGCCTATTTTGTTTAGCACTGTATTCATTTTATTTGTAACTTATATTTAGACATATAGTATATAGACTTCTATTTATACTTTGGCCCTTGGTCCCACAAATTAAGGGCAGGTCTAATCAGAGATGCTTCTAATATGCCATTTCAAGTTACAGACATTTTTAGGCATATGACCAAGCAAGAATGCTTCTGTTCCCCTGAAGGTATATCAAAACCCTTCAACCCCACAGCCACTCTGGGTCCCCACAGTCACGCTGGGTCCTTATAGAGTGGCACCAAACTTATATCTGGTACAATTACTCATAAATGCATCATTTTAAAAAGAAAAACTAGACAATATATCTGCTAAGTTCTTATCTTAAATTCCATTAAAATTTAATGGTCTTTTGTTTTGTTCAGCTGTATATGATGTAGTGGAAGAAAAGCTAGAAAATGAGCCAGACTTCCAGTACATTCCTGAGAAAGCCCCACTGGATAGTGTCCATCAAGATGACCATTCCTTGCGGGAATCGATGATCCAGCTAGCTGAGGGGCTTATTACTGGAACAGTTCTGGCACAGTTTGATGTAAGTAATATCACTATATGGAAAAATATTTTCTCACATTTTCTAGTTACCTTTATGGCTTCTTAACTGTCTAATCTACTATCCATTATAATTTATAAACTACAGTGGTATCCTGAAAAATATTTGACATAAAGAGTTCCAAAATCCAAAGTTGCTGAAATTACTGCCATAATGCTAGTGATAGTTATATAAATAGATGTCTGATTTTGAATGGAAATAAAGAAATTTTATATATGTCTTTAAAGTACATTTTTTTCTGTAACTAAGTAGCTGTTTTTATGAAAGGTAGCACACTAGGAGAGGTTACTGTTGACTTAAAACTCTTGAGTTAAAGGAAAACAACTTCTATATTTGAAGTTTACATCTTTTCACATTTAATCTTTCTCTAATTTTTGTCAGTTCACTCTTGAAAATTCTTAGATCACTGTATTGAAAGAGGAGAACGCAGCCCAATGTAATGGTGCACTCCTTTAATCCCTGCACTCTTGAGAAGCTGAGGCACGAAGATTGCAAGTTTCCCCAGCCTGGGAAACTTACTGATTTAGCAAAATCCTGTATCAAAATGAAAAAGGGCTAGGGATACAGCTCAGTGCAGAGATCCTGCATTCAATCCCCAGTACTGGGAAAGAAAGAGAGGAAAAAGGAAGGACAGAGGAGCAGACAAGAATGCTTCTTGAGTGCTATAACTGGTATTTTGACTAGTGAGCATACCATAGGTTTTCAATCCTGTGTTTGGAAAATGTGAACTTGTTTTGTCTAATAAAACTAGAAGTTTTTAGTGTGTTTTTCAAAATGGTTATCATTAACATCTGTTCTTTGCAGTTTATGTTGTAGATAAGTGATTGTAATTACAAAACACTTAGGGCACATGTCAGTTTTTCTTATAAAAAGTTCTTAGCTCAAGTTCTGCAAAACTTCCTCTGATGTAAACAAAATGGTTTGAACTTGTTTTATCAAATTTTCTGAAATATGGTATATAATTCACATGAGAAACTGCAGAACTCAGGTTTACGGTTCTGTTTCAATACTCTGTGTTATTAGTATACACTGCTTAGATAAAGTAGTCAAAGGAAAAAGCCTGTTTCCTGTTAGTATACAAACAACTCTGAAAAACAAAAATTTCTGATGGCTTATTCAACTGATACTTTTTTTTTTAAGCAACTATATCGGAAGAAACCTGGAATGACAATGTCTTGTGCCAAATTACCTCAGAATATTTCCAAAAATAGATACAGAGATATTTCGCCTTGTAAGTATCTGTCATCTGTTAAATTTAGTTTTTTTTTAACAAAAATGTATTAAAATGTTGTTCCTAGCCAGGCATGGTGGCACATGCCTGTAATCCCAGCATTCAGGAGGCTGAGGCAGGAGGATTGTTGCAAGTTCAAGACCAGCCTGGGCTACAAAGTGAGCTCAAGGCCAACCTGAACTGTATAGCGAAACCTTGCCTCAAAAAGACCAAAAAAAAAAAAAAAAAAAAATGTTTCTAAGCTAGGGATTGTAGAATGTGTACTTACCATATACAAGACCCTGGGTCAATCCCCAGCATCAAAGACAAAAGCACCTCGTTATTTCTTTGAAATTTTTTTCAGATGATGCTACACGGGTCATTTTAAAAGGTAATGAAGACTACATCAATGCAAACTATATAAACGTAAGTAGTTTTTTTTTTTAATTGTGCTTTGGTACTTGAAAGAAAGGGCCACTGTAAATTTTGAGACTGCCAAATGTGGTGGCACACGCCTATAATCGTGGGACTCAGAAGTCTGAGGCAAGAGGATTGCTGCGAGTTCAAGGCCAGCCTGAACTGCATAGTGAAACCCTGTCTCAAAAAAAAAGACTAAATAAATACATAAATAAAATTTGAGATTAATGCCCTTTTTTTGAAAGCCTTACCTTAATAGAAAAGTTAAACTTCCAGATATTGAAAAATATTACCAAAGTAATGTTAAAGAAACTTGCTTGGTATTAGTATATAATATAGAGGTAGAGTAACATAACAGAATAGTATAGTTCAGAATACTAGAACTGAGACTGAACTGAATATTAGAACTTTGTGTACAGTAGAGGTGGCCTTTTAAATCATTGGAGGTAAAATAGGCTATGTAGTAAATGGATTGAGTCAACTATGCACATTATAGTATTGTAAGGAGAGGCCCACTACCACCACCACTAAACCGGGGAGTAGAAGAAAGCATCACTAGTTTTCTTCTTAAATTTGTAATGTAAAAATTTTTGAATGTACAAAACTTAGAGCCAAAAATAAAATGAACCTTTATATATATTCACACACACAGATATCATTCAGCTTCAGTAGTTGTTAACTTCTTGCCAGTCTTATTTCATCTGTATCCACACTTCCCAATTGTTTGGAAATAGATCTGTATATCATATCATTCATCTATAAATATTTCTCATGTTCTAGATACTAAGTTCAAAACATGTCAAAATACAAATATAAAAATGAAATTGTGTAGAGCCAGCCATCATGGTGCACACCAGTAATCCCAGCAGTTGGGTGGGTGGGGCAGAGGATCGCCATGAGTTTGAGCCCAGCCTGAGCTATATAGTGAGCTCAAGGTCAACCTGAATGACAAAGCAAGACTGTCTCAAAAAAAGAAAAAATGAAATTGTGAAAATACTTGAAAGAAATCTGTGAAAATTGGTTAATATTTCAGAAGGGGAAAGATCTTTCTAAGCTTAGGTACATGTCTGCACTAAAAAGAAACAGTTGGTGAATTTGGCAATGTAAATTTTTAAATTTTTTGTATGATTAGAAAATACTGAAACCAGAGCTGGGATATAGCTCAGTGGTGCAGTGCCTACTTGGCAGGCATGAACGAGGTCCTCAGTTTGATTCCCAGTACCAAAAAAAGAAAATACTGAAATCAAATGACAGACTATTAAAAATACGAGAAAAGGCTTAGTCATTGTACTAAGAGCTCCACAAATGATTTAGGAAAACAAAGATTAGTTAAAGTAAAAAAAAAAAGATTAGTTAAAGTAGTGGGTATAGGACATTGAAAAACAATTCAAGGAAAAGGAAACGCAAAGATATTTTAAATTTTATGGCTATTTTCAAATGTGTAAGTATGGTATGAAGGTCTATCATATATGTTACCCAGCTTCAGGAGCTAACAATAAATGGCCAGTCTTGTTTCATCTAAGCATTATTCAAAAGTACTTTTTTAGCCCAAATTTATCACCTATTGCCAGGTGTGGTGGCACATGCCTGTAATCCCAGCACTGAAGAGGCCGAGGCAGGAGGATGGCCATGAGTTTGAGCCCAGCCGGACCTACATAGTGAGACCCTCTCTCAAATGAATAGATAAACAAATATCACTTTATATGTAAATACAGACAATTCTCATTACTTAAGGTAGTTATGATGCATGAAGTCTTTGCAAATATTGAATTGTGAATAATGAATCATTAGTTCTAAAACAAATAGGATTAGGTTCTAAAACAAAGGATTAGGTTCCCAGAAGCCTCTAATCACAGTATTTTCATCAACTGATCCATACATAAATTTGTTTCTATTTAAAGACACCCCATTTAATATATATTATTAATTCATTTTAACATTGCACTCATGCCTAAAGGAAACTTATCTCTAACACATTTTCTCCATGAGGCACATCGCAGCCTTCTTCCTCTTAGGAACACTAAGCAGCACTTCAGCACTGTGCTTGTAAAGAGCAAAATCACCAACAAAGAGCACAAAAATGTGAAAAATGTGGCACTACCTACCCTGCAAAAAGCCACTTGTTTACAGGATGATAGTTGAAACTAGAAACACAGAGTTGCGTTCTTTGTCATCAGCTGGAAATATCCACGTCTGGTGGCTCAAATTATTTTTGCTGCGCTAAGCATACTTACAAATGAGCAAAAAGCCCTGCAACTGTCTTGAGGATATATATAAATTTTAGCAAGTGGTCAAATTTGCAAGTGCAAAATTTGACTGAGGGTAGACTGCTTTAATATGCTACTCCTATAAGGACTCTTGTCTTGTTTTTTGGTTTTGGGTTTTTTTTAGCAAAACCATCGTAGCATTGTAACACTTAGAAAAAAACAATATCAAACAATTAAAAGTACACTGGATTTACAAAAAAGAAAGCTGTGAATCAAAAATAGCAAGAAATTATGATTTTCACCTAGGAAATTGAAAGATTAAAATTTGATGATACCATATTACAGTTCTACACCCTTTATCTGAAACCTTGGAGTCAAATATGCTGTGAGAGTCAGCATTTGAAGGCATCAAAGAGGTTATTCAGTTCATTACAATATACTGTAGTAAGTAACATCTCTGCCAGATTATGGGGCAAGTGCCCTGTAGCAAGTATCAACATACTTACACAATCTACAGTAAATTATGGACATCCTTACTAAGTAAAAATAAAGAATATAAACAATATTAGGTCAGTGAAGGTCAGGTTTTGCTGTCATATTAGCCTGGGTCAGGTTAAATTTACCAACAGGGGAAAAAGAAAAACCTTGAAGTTCAGATGTTTGGAAATTTCAGAATTGTAGGGAATTATAAAATTGTAGGGAAGCAATTATGTTTAGATTAACAAGTATGAGGAATAAAACATTCCTATTCTATTCTTGATAGAAGCACAAATTGCTACAACCTCTTTGGGTAGCAAAATTTTAAATATATATACATTATTATCTAGCATTCTTTTTCTTTCTGTTGCCTTTACAGATATATTTTTATGTTTGCACAGAAATATTAGGCTTAACAAAAATATTCAATTCAGGTTTATTGTTAGCAAAGAGAATAGCACTACTTAAATATCTTTTAAATAAGTTATATTTATATAGATTAACCATTTAAAAGAATGAAATTATGTGTACTGAGTTGACATATCCTCAGAAAAAATACGATGTCAAACATTATAATAAAGTACCACTTTTTAAATAGTTTCACAGAAAAATAGGAAGATGTTTTTACATCTTATATATATCAGTGGGCTGTGTGGAGTATATCTCTGAAAGGCTATATTAAAAACTGGGAAGAATGATTGCCCTCCTGGGTGTTACCTAGAGGACAGGATAAGAGGAAAACTTCTTTCTCACTTCCTGTGAATATTCTTTGCATCACCTGTGCATGTATCACTTTTTTATTTTCAGCCTCAAATGTTGTAAAATGATGACTCATCTTCCACAAATATTCATTGTCTTACCTTGTTTTGAAAACTCTGAGTTTAAATATCCTTTAAAATTGTTTTGTATGCAAAAACCAAGCTCAAATAACATGTGGCTGAAATTTTCATCCTCACGGGCAGTTGTGGTGGTGCACACCTATAATCCTACTGCTCAGGAGGCTGAGGCAGGAGGGTTTCCACAAGTTTGAGACCCGCCAGGACTATGTAGTGAGTTTAAGGCTAGTCTGAGCTACATAGCAAGATCCTATATCAAAAAACAAAAAGAAAAAATTTTCATTCTCATAAAATTTACCAATAAGCTATTTACAGATAGGCATTTTTTCTTTACTCTCTGCCTCTGAAATAGGGTTCTCCATAAAGCGGCTTTGAAAACCATAACAGTATTTTGGAAAATATACTTAAATCCCTCTTTCTACTAATTGAAAGATAAAATACATATAACTATTGGATGTTGCCAAGAAGTTTCTTCTACATATAAAATCAATGTTGAAGATTGTTTTACTGATTACAGCTTATTGAGATTAGTCACATTTCAATTTAACAATCAGTTACTAAATGGTTGTCATATTCCCAACATAGAATCATACAATGCAAAATCATAAAAGATTGTAATATAAATAGTAAAATCATATAATGCAAAAGATTCCACTTTAATGCCTTGTTCTTTTTAGATGGAAATTCCTTCTTCAAGTATTATTAATCAGTACATTGCTTGTCAAGGACCATTACCACACACTTGCACAGATTTTTGGCAAATGACTTGGGAACAAGGCTCCTCCATGGTTGTAATGTTGACCACACAAGTTGAACGTGGCAGAGTAAGTCTTAGTTGAATCTTACGTACTGCTTGGACTTTTTTCAAATTACATTGCATGTATAATCAAAATATTAACATTGATTAATCTTCTGTAACATTTAATCTCTTTTGTTGTGGTTTTATGATATAAATCATCATGGTTCAGTGCATAAAACTTTGACTAACACATGATAAATGTGACATAAAATCATTGTTATTATTTAAAAGGATTACATAGCTCTGCATGGTGGCCCATGCTTGTAGTCCCATCACCCTGGGAGGCTGAGACAGGTGGATTCCAAGATGGAGCCCAGCCTGGACAATTTAACTGATTGAGATCCTACCTAAAAAATAAAAAGAATGAATATGTATGTAATGGGCCTGTGTCTACAATATAGTGGTACCTCAGTTCACAGATTCATTCTCTCCACGATTCTCATCACAGACCAACCTGATGAGAACCAAATCAGATCCCCGCAAGGTCAGACCTGCATGTGTAAGCATCGTATTGTCTCACTAGTGTGAGACCTGAAAGAGCGAATAAAAACT